AGCTGGGCCCCAGACAGCAGGCAGCAGCTGGAGGCAGAGCAGCCCGTGCTGGGCAGCCCTGGGCTGAGGGCGGCCAGCAGCAGGGATTAGCCACATCCAGCAAGGGCGCTGGTCAGGTCAGCGGCCTGAGGGCCACTGATCCACCTCCTCCATGCCTTCCTCCCCCTCCCCCAGCAACGCCCTCCGGGCCAGAACCTGCCCCAAGACAGACCCTAACTCTGGTTTCTGAAATGCTCCCTGAGTCCTTTCCCCAGAGGACTGGGCACGTTTCCTCCCCAGATGGGGAGGCAGTGGACTGGCCCCTGGGCCCCAACCCTGCACCCGGAATGCCCCTCTTAGGGAGGCAAGCCCCCTCTAGACTCTTGCTTTCCCTGGCTCCCTTGCAGCTAGGCTTGGCACGGGATCTAAGCTCAGCCAGAAGCACCTGCTGCAGATGTGAATGGGGGCCAGGGAAGCTGACAGGCAGGAGCGACGTGGCACCCACCCAGGACATGAGCACAGCAGCAGTAGCAGCACTGGGGAGGCACCCCCAGTCCAGCATCTGTGGTGCCTACGGTCTGTGGTGGGGGATCCTAAGGACCAGTGCAGCAGGGTGATGGAACATTGATCCTTGTCCCCAAGCTTGTTTCTCTGCCCTCCCAGAGATTCAACGAGCCTCGTTGTACCTGGGACCTCGGCCCACCTGGATCCCCAAGGGGGTCACTGGCACTTACCTGAGCACCCAGTACCTGAGGCAGCAGCCCACCTGGGTCCCTGAGGGGTCGCGGGCACCTATCTCAGCACCTGGTACCCACAGCAGCAGCCCACCTGGGTCCCCAAGGGTTATCGGCATCCACCATGCCCGAAGTATCTCAGCATGTTGCTCGCCACAAGCTCGCTGTCTGCCGCGCCATGTGGAGCCCTCTGCCACGCTGCCTCGTGTGATGCTCACAATGACCATGTGAGGCATTTTACAGAGGAGGAGACTGAGGCTGGGAGCCCCAGCACAGGCCCAGCGAGCAACAGAGCCACGACCCTCACACAGAGAGCAAGCACGCAGCCATGGCCGAACCCCCTGACGGGCGGACTCAGCAGACATTTGTCTAATGAACAGACTGGGACACTAAACCCCCACGTCACAGGAGGCATCCACAGCAGGACCATCCCATGCCATCCCTAGCCACACACAATGGCAACGGCACTCCATTCACTGGGCCTCACTCTCCCCAGCTGCCCAGTGGCCTGTCCTGAGCCTGCTGTCCCTGAGCAGTCTGACCCATTGATGTTGAGCCCGGGTCCACCTTGCCCACACATCAGAGTTGCAGAGGCCCGCTGGCCTCAGCACCGGCAGCCTGAACACAAGGGCCCAGCACCCTGAAGTTAAAACAGAGCTGAGATCTGCACCCAGCTCTGCTCATTCCCAAGTCCACGTCTGCTGTGCCTCCATTGCTGGTCAGGTCAAAGCCGTGCTTGGGACTGGCCAGAGGCAGTAGCTTCAAGAACAGTCTGATCTCTGGCGTCCCCCCCCCCCCAGCACCTGGCATCCACCCTCCTTAGAAACCCCACTAGACTCTGGGAGCTGAAATTCCTGGGTGGGGGCTCTGCACCCCCAAGTGCAGATGGTGAAGCTAGCCTGGGGGTTGGGAGGGCTGCGGGGGAGCAGAAGGCAGAGCCAGCCTGTCTGGGTTAAGAGGAGGACGCCACCGAGAACAGCCAAGGAGCCTTGGAGCCCTGTCCCCCGCTACAGGGCTGCAGCCTCATCTGCCCAGTGGGGTTTTGCAGGACAGGAGAGTCGGAGAGGCAGGACCCCGAAGGGCAGGGAAGTTGTGGGGAAGGAGGGTTCAAGCCCCACTTTGCTACTGCTACTGGTGTTGAATAAACCAAAACATGAACTCCTTTTGGTTCGATGTGCAGGTTAAATGCCTTACAGTGAGTGCCGGGCCCGTGCGTCCACCTGCTGTCTGGAAATCCCGCTGGAAGCCGCACTGCCGTCTGCCGTGCACCCCACTGAGCACTTTCACGCATCGGTTCCTGAGATCCGCACAACGGCCGCTAATGGGACTACGGTCACTGCGCCGCTTGAGACACGAGGAAACAGAGGCACTGGAGAGGTCACAGGCCTGGCCCAAGGTCGCCAGACCGGAAATCGCTCAAAGTCGGATGACATGAAGCACAACCTCACCCAGCGTGCCGCGTGGTGGGGAGACTCTGACCAGCGGGCTCTTCCAGCGCACAGGAGAGCCCGGGCGGCGCCAACAGTAAACGCGCTTGGTTGCTAACCGAGAGGTTGGAGATTCGCGTCCCACCCAGAGGCACTTCAGAAGAAAGGCCTGGCAATCTGCTTCTGAAAACATCAGCCACTGAACCCTTACGTAGCTCAGTTCTACTCTGACCCATGTGGCGGCGCCATGAGTAGGAACTGATTCAATGGGAACTGGTTTGGGAGGCAGAGGGCTCTTGGGACAGGTTTTCACACAAGGTCAAATCTGCCTAGAATATCCTTTACAAACAGTCAGCGTCAGCCTTCACGCAGGGGCTGAGACCGTGAGGGGCACACCAGGAAATCGGACCGTGCTCGAAGCTACTGCCTCTGGCCAGTCCCAAGCACGGTTTTTAGCTGATCAACAGTGAAGGGACAGCAGGCGTGGACTTCCATGAGCAGAGCTGCTGGTATCTCCGAGTCTCACGTCCACTGGTCAGCAGAATGGCGCCTGTTGTTAGGATTTGGGGGCACAGCCCGCCTCTTCCTTGGCTGAGGGCCCCAGCCCAGGCAGACTATAGCTACCTAACCTGATGTCAGGCTCTGCTGTGTATGTTAGAGTGCCTTCTCCCCTCAAGTCCTTGCCGGGAAACTCTCAGTCCTGCCAGGGCCTGGCCAGCATGGCCTGGTGTGTGGGGGCAGGGCAGTGTTGAGATCTCCCTCTGGCGCATTCAGCCTGGGGGCTGCCTGGAAGGGTGGCCCAGGACAGCGAGAAGGGGGAACCAGGATGGAAAAGGGGTAACGAGGACGGCGAGAAGGGTGAACCAGGACGGCGGGAAGGGGGAACCAGGACAGCGAGAAGGGGGAACCAGGATGGCGGGAAGGGGGATCCAGGACGGTGAGAAGGGGGAACCAGGATGGCGGGAAGGGGGATCCAGGACAGCGAGAAGGATGGCCCAGTGCAAGACAGGTAGGAGGCGGAGCAGATCAGAGAGCTCCTCACTGCTGCCATCACCCCAGAAACCCCAGTCACCTGCCTGCCAGTCCCCGACCCAGGAGGTGCTGCAGGTGCAGGCAGGCAGCCTCCTGACCACTTGAATTAGGACGGGCTCCAAAAAACCCTGCCCCCCACTCCCTGCCCCAAAGGCAAGGCCTGTTTCTGTCTCTACAATGGGTGCAGTGACTGCCCCCCCCCCATGCTGATGAAGGATAAACGAGGAAAGGTCTACCTAGCAATAGAGCACCTTGCTAGCAGAGAGTGAGTAAACGCTGTGCTTTCTTTCCTGTTTCCTCTCCCCCCAAGACAGGGCAGGAAGCCTCCTGAGCAAACAGCTGCCCCCTATGCGGATTTCTAGGGGAGGAATCCATTCTGTCCCCAGTGACCCCAGCTTAGGGTGGGGAGAGGAGGTGCTCAAAGGCCAGGTGATGGGGTAGAAAGCACTACTTTGCGCGGAGGTCATCAAGTGGAGACCAAGCCCGCAGCTCCTCCGCTCCCCGCCCCCCGCCCCAAGCGGCGACTGCGCCACGGAGAGATTCTTGAGGGTCGCACACAGGGAGGGCCCAGGACGCAACCCCACGGCTCGCCGACTTCCGTAAGCGGCTACGCCCCTCTGCCCTCCGAGGCTGCCCAGAATCTGCCCACCCCAGCGCGGGACAGGGAAACTCCCCCACGGCGCCAGCCGGGGCGCCCGGTCCCTCCCTCGGGTCGCC